CATTATATTTTGAAGAGCCCAACCCCATTTTCTCAAAAAAAACTTAAAAAATCAAAATGTGACAAACCGAGATGAGAAGAATTAATTTTGTCCGGTTTGATTTCAATTAGTAATTGCTGACATGTCTTTTTTTGCCCCATGTTCTAATGCTGATGTGGAGGCTTGAGAAGTGAGAAAACTCAACTTTATTGTATAAGATACTAAAGTACTATATGCAATATCTAAAAATTTTGACTCACTTACATACCCAGAGAGAAAATACATTGTAGGATACTCTTTCATTAAGAATTAGTTTGTGTTTTTCCATAGATTATATATCGCCCAATGTTGGTAATAATACAAACTATATGCAACGAATTTATATATATGTTACTTGTTCATTATTAATTAACAAAGCATTATTATGAATTCATTTGAAAATCCTATTTTTTATAATCGTGGAGATCCCAAATTTTTTCTAGATTTAACTACTAATCACATGAGTCCTTGCATCCGGATGCGCATGGATGATTAAATTCATTTAAAGCGTGAATATGTGGCTAATGTTATTCAAACCCAAGACGGAAGCTTCAGCTTTAGTCCTTTTACCTAGGCTAAAACGACTTGGTTTGTGAATAATTTTATTTCTTTTAATCAAAATTTAACTGTTAAATCAACAGATTATAATAAAAATAATTTGTTCCCTACCACTTGAACTTGGTTTATATAGTGAAATCAGACTATTTTTTAAACACTATAAATATGTATATCTCTAACCAGAATCATTCATCTCATAATCCTTAAGTAGAATCTGGTAAGACAGACGAAAAGAAGAGGAACACGACAGCAGTCGAGATGGCCTCACATTCTCAGGTTTCTTTTCTCTTCTTTGCTATGATATTACAGAAATTAATTCTCCTCCTCTCTCGCTAAATTAATTTATAATAGGTTTTCGTGGACGATAAATCGAGTGTTAAAATCTTAACACTAAACAGAGCAAAGCAGCTGAATGCTCTGTGCTCCAACATGGTATTGGATCTTTTTCTTGTTATTTCTTCCTCTCTTTCATGCACTGGTTTACATATTTAGCTTGAATTAATCTTCTTTAGGTCACTCGGTTGCTGCAACTGTTCCTTGCATATGAAAATGACCCTAATGTGAAACTGGTCATCCTAAAGGTAATATTAATCCTTATCTCTTCAGGTTTGCACACACTGAATTTCTTTGCCACAGGGTCAGGGAAGAGCCTTTTGTGCTGGTGGCGATATTCCACCTGTTGTTGATGACATCGTACGAGGTATGTATAGAGCACCCTCCCATGTTTTTTTCCTGCTTATTTCAGCTTCTACACACTCCAATTCTATTTTCGAGGAGTAGGCAAATGGAGACTCGGTGCCGATTTCTTCTCAGATCAATATACGCTCAACTATGTCATGGCCACGTATAGCAATGTTCAGGTATGTTGAGGTAGGATTTGGTCCAAATCTAGTATATGGGTTGTTCTAAATCTAGGTATTTTGATTTAAAAGGTTTGGATATTTGGTTTTGCATATTACATGTATCTATACTATTAAAGCAGGATCCTATTGTTAAAATTTTGGATTCTATCCCAAGATTTTTATCACATTTATAAGATAATACCACTATTTATTTTTAGAATCTTAATTAATTAAACAATTTAATATCTTCTATATTTATGGTAACTGATAATATTTCCTATTTTTGTGATTAATAATAATTTTCCTTTTATGAAAATTATGATTTTCTATTTAACTTTAATATCATATTTCCGTGCATCATATTATTTAGCGATCAAAAATTATAAATTATTATTTACTATTTCATTTTATCCATAATAATGATATGTCAATTCAATTTGTTTTAAAAACTAAATTTTAGATATAAAATGAGTAAAAATGTAAACTTATCATAGGTTATTAATAACGAAAAGAAACTAATATTGTTATATGAATAAATTGTGTTTTTTTCTATTGCCATTGTTTCATTTTTTCAAATGACAAGAAATTTTTTATTAAAGAAATTACAAAAAATCAATTTTCTTTAATATTAAAAATATGAATTATTTAACAAATTTTTAAATATATATTATCAGTTTTTATGGGGTTATATAACGGATCAACGGATATCATAATACAGATTAATAGCGGATTTTAAGATATATACCGGGTTGGCTTAAATTTTTAATTAGTAAATTTTTAATTAAATCTTAACTAGATTATATAAAAATTGTCGGATGTACCGGTTCAACTATGGATCTGGGTCGGATATGGAATATTACGTGAAAATCAAACATTATAATAGAACTTTTTTAAATATTAATAAAACAATTTTAAAATTTTTGTGTTTGAATAATTAATTTAAATAAATTTTATTAAAATGGTAAAAATATACCCGCGCTTTTAAAGCGCGGGTCAAAATCTAGTAAGCCATTAAGCCTATATCATATAAAATGTTATTTAAGAGGCTGGAGTATTTTTCAAAGACGTTTCCACGATAAATATGTTCTAAAATGTAATCCAAAATATTTATGAATTAATTTAAAGTGAATATCTTATATGCTATTTTGATATTTTCTATTAACTTTTATTTTGTAATTTAATATTTCCTTATGGAATTATATTTTTTATTTGTTCTTTTTGTTATCTTTTATTTCACAAATTGTAACAAACTTAGATTAGGATAGTTGATTGTAGGATCCCGATCAAGCTTTGGTAATGTTTTTAAACCCGATCCAGACACTGAACCGGACGACTTACCGGATCACTGGGTCACTGGGTCGACCGTGGATGAACTGCAGATTAATAAATGAAAATTTATTATATAATAATATATTATCTATGAAAATAAGAATAAAAATATAGAAACTAAAGTTAAATATTTTATAATTTTTTTAAAACATAAAATATATAAATATACAAAATATCAAAAACTAGTTTAGACTATTTATTTTTTTTTATAACAAGTTAAGAGTAATGACATCTAAAAAAATCAAAATATAAAATTCATAAATATTTAAACGTCTAATGAGAATAATAAATTAAATTTAAAATCCAAAATAAACCAAAAGTAAAAGTTTATTTATTGGTTCAACCAATGGGTCAACCGGTATCAGGTTTTGGGCTTTAGTGGGTTTTTCTGAGTTTTTGCAGGTTTTTAAATTTTGAGTTTTTAACAAAATCCGAACCGGATTTATTTTGGGTCACCGGGTTTACCGGTTCAACCGCGTGTCCGGATCGGGTTTCAAAACACTGAGCTTTGGTGTCTGTCCATACCCACTCCTACTATTTCCTTTTAGTGAATTACTTAAGCCAATAATTTGTTTTCCATACTGTTTTTGAATGTATAGATTTCAATTTTGAATGGTATTGTCATGGGAGGGGGAGCTGGTGTCTCCATCCATGGTCGATTTCGTATTGCAACTGAGAAAACGGTATTGTTTTCTTAATCCATGGTAGATAACGAGCTCAGAAATATGCTCATATCTTGAGTTATTTTTCAAGGTTTTTGCCATGCCTGAGACGGAACTGGGGCACTTTCCAGATGTAGGCGCCTCATACTTCCTGTCAAGGCTCCCTGGTCTTTTTGGTAGCAAACTTCACTTGTTTACTCATTTAGACAAAAGACTGAACCAGTCTCCCTTTCTCATCCTTCTTGTCTTATTCAGGAGAGTATGTTGGCCTCACAGGAGCTAGGTTAGATGGCGCTGAAATGCTTGCTTGTGGGCTTGCAACTCATTTTGTGCCTTCGTCGGTATGAACTTCTGCTACTTACGTCTTTAGTGTTTTCCATTATCAGGATGATAGCAACCTGACAAATACTGGACTTTGACCTGAATGTTAAGTTCCCATTGTGTTTTTACGGCACTCTCATTGGTCGCCTCATTTTTAAAGGTTTTTGATTTTGCAATCGCTTTTGAAGGACACTCTCATTTAGGGAAGGGTACGAAACGGATATCTAGAATTTTAAGGATATATGTGATCCATCACTCAGCACGGATAATCGACTTTTTTGTTTGATTTGATTCGTAATCTTCCGGATATCTGAAATAGCGGATAACAAATAAAATCCGTATTTTTATAGGTTATCCGATTCGATCCTTGAATAAATATTATATAAAACAATAATATTTTAATACTAAACTTTTTTAAAATACATACTTTTAAAAATTAATAAATAATTAATTAAATTAATGAATAAAAATATTATAAAATTTATATAGAGATATAAAGTTATATAATATATATATATATATATATATTTTATATACACGTATATAAATGTACATAATAGATCGAATGAAATATCAATAAAACAGGAATCCTTTTATGGATTTGACCTTAATTTTTTTGAAATATTACTTTTTGTGCCATTAAATTTGCCTTAAAAACTTAAACTCTAGAAGGATAGTTTAGGAAATGACTTCCAGCCTATGTATAGATATGGCACTTCTTTTTTAATTATATCAATACCTCGTTAAGTTTGCAATTACATCTAAGAACACAATTTGATTTTAACACACTTTCTTTTTATGATTTATCTATTTTACCCTCTAAATAAACTAACTAAACAATTTCTTTTTCTCTAACTAAACAAAATTGTTCCCATCACCAAACCCAGATATCATTTGTTTCTTCTTTCTCCTATCTCAAATCTATTTTTTATGATTTGTCTATTTTTTTCTTGTTTCTTCTCCTCCGCCTCGTCTGAAAAATTCATTTCCTTCTATGTTCGTGCATCCACGCAATTGATAAACATCGTCGTTGGGTAGATCTCTGTTGATGATGGATCTAGAGGATGGTGGTTTCTCGATCTAGGTAAGTCTGTTTGGAGGCGGAAGTCCCTTGATAGGATTGAATCTGGAGTGGAGCGCGGTTAACTAGGGCTTTCGAAGCGGCGGAGCGTCAACGGCAGGAGCGGAGGTTGAGTCTTGAGGCTAGGTCTTAGGATCTGTTGTTGTGGCCATGGGGTTCCTCCGGGAGTGGCTCCGACTTAAAATCTTCAACTTCGGCGGATCTGTGGGTTCCTAAGAAACAGCTCAGCCATGATGTAGCAACCATAAAGGACATACCATCCACCAAGCACTCGTCCATGAGGAACCATCCATGATGAACCCTGTCCACAAGGACGATGGTCGACAGGTATGGAAGAAATGTTGACTGGAAAAGGTGGTGATAATGATGCCCGTATAAGAAACAGTGATGATGATGGCTCTTGAAAAATAAAATGATGGTGGTATAGAAGAAACGCGAAGGTTGTGGTAGTGGGAAAAATGGGACGACGGTGGAGGGTCAGCGACAACTATTCACCAAGCTTTCGTCCATGAGGTACCATCCACAAGTTCTCATCCACGATGAATCCATCCACAAGGACGGTTGTGGTCAGTGGTTGAGTTGATATTATTGAGGTGATTAGAAAAGTTGTGGATGAGATTCTCGGTGGTGGATACTAAAGGTGGAGGAGATAGTGGAAGTGGTGATTAAAATGAATGTGATAACGGAAGTGGAAGAGATAGTGTAGGAGGTGGCGGTGATAGATATGAAGATGATGATGGAGGTAATGACTGAAAGGAGATATTGATAGACACTGGTTCAGTCTCCAACTGGATCCAACCAATTTTTTTTCTTAATCATACTACTCTTTTTTCTCTAAGGAATGAATGGCTTTAATATCCAACATTTCTTCTCTCGTCCAGAAATGTTTTTCTTTTGCAATGTGTCTTTAGATGTTATCGAAAGTCAAAATGTGTTTTTTACTGTAACTCTCTCTAAAATGAATTATAGGTCGACCATTTCTTGCACTTCTTTTGGTTGATCAAGTCCTCATTAGAAATAATTATGATATCAAAGTTTAAAAAAAATAACAATTAGGGGTCCAAATGTTTTGGGATCAGTCTTGCTCGTGATGCCTTAGAGACTTTGAGAGGTTGAGATTAAAATCGTATTCAAACCAAAAAAAAACTTTTATACAATAACAGCATCTTTTTCAGTGGCTTCATTACTGACTTGTACCAGGCCACATCTCCATTAATTGTTCTATCATTATGTTGACGGTTCTAACTTGTATATGTATTGATAACCAAACTTGAGGTCTTTAAATATTTTCTAGATTCTCTATTTCTTTTTTTTTGGTATGATTCTAGAGTCTCTATTTCTTTGACATTATATTAGACAATTACATTTCAGAGTATTTTTAAGAACCATTTGCTCCGCTAAGAATTTTTTTTTTTTTAGCTAAGAATATTTACTGAGTGACGTTGCCTCTTCACAGAGGTTGGCTGCATTAGAAACAGATCTATGCAGAGTTGGTTCAACTGATCCAGTTACCTTTGCCTCGACAATTCTCAATACATACACTCAACATCCGCACCTGAAACAACATAGCGCATACCACAGGCAAGTGTATATTATTAAGTCATTTCTTACTTATAATTGAGTTTGACGGAAATCACTTGATTTGCAAACTTCGAAGCATTCTAGGCAGCCCGGCTGGAGATTTAGGGGGACTTAGATAATTTATCAAAAATCAAATAATTTCTTTTATATATAAGTTAGGGAGTCTAAAACTTTTTTTCGGGCTTTTGTCTATGTAATTTTCTTCATAATTTTTGAGGGTTTAAAGTCAATGTTTCATTCCGTTTTGGCCATGACCGTCCTTGATTCTAGGTCAGGTGCTAAAGCAATTTCTCCAACATTGATCATGATTGCAGTTACATGTTTTGTATTTCAACCTTGTATCGGTGTCAGTTTTCAATCGTTTTTTAACAGGAACAATTATGTCTCGGTTAGATCTTCAATGAAATTGTTTTTATTAGCTATTCTTTTTTTTTTCTTTACGCAGGTTAGATGTTATTGATAGGTGCTTCTCAAGAAAAACTGTAGAGGAGATTATATCTGCACTTGTAAGTATTTCATTAATATATCGTGAGTTACCCTTTGACAATATATGCAAATGCAATCTACCATCATATATATATGTGTCCGTTAGGAGAGAGAGGTCATTCAGGAGCCAGATGAATGGATTTCAGCTACCATTGGAGCTTTGAAGAAGGCTTCACCAGCAAGCCTTAAAATCTCTCTTAGATCGGTTAGTTTTTCAATTTATTACATGCAATAATGGGATAGAGCTGACTTTGTGTATGTAATTTTAGATAAGAGAAGGACGGTTTCAGGGGGTGGGGCAGTGTCTTATCCGTGAGTATAGAATGGTGTGTCATGTGATGAAAGGAGAAATAAGCAAAGATTTGGTGGAGGTTTTGTCTGCTTTCACGATTATATCTTCATCCTGAAACTATCTTTATTGTAGAGATCATTACAACAAGGTGTCGTAATTTTCCAGGGTTGCAGAGCCATATTGATAGACAAAGATAGGAACCCAAAGGTTTAACACAAACTCTCCATTTATTATTTGTGGTTATGTCATATTTGTGTATATAATGTCATAAATATTGAATTACAGTGGGAGCCACGGCTATTAGAACAGATGACGAATAACATGGTAAACCAGTACTTCAAGAGAATGGATGAAGAGGAGGGATGGGAGGATCTAAAGCTTCCACCAAGGAATAACTTGTCTGCTTCAATAATCGCAAAGCTGTGAAATGGAGAAGTTAATGTGACTGTGTAATGGTTGGAGCTCATCTTTCAATTCTCTCTTTGTTGATTGTCAGGCTATCTTCATAGAAGTATTCAGTCTCCATTTTCTCACTTTTCCTTGCTTTTAGGAATTATGTTGGAAGTAAGCTTGAAATAGCTTGAAGAGCAAGCGCTATCCTAATCTTACTTTATTTTGGTTCTTCGAGAGATTAGGAAAGATCTTATAAATGTTAAGACTATTAAGAATAAGAAGTCACAAGAGATTAATAAGAGAGTAAGTGCTTATTAAAGAGTATTCTATAATCGATTTGCAAAACTATATTTGGTATCAGAGCTTCTAGGGTACGATCAACATAAGACACGGGAGAAATCGTTCCTTTAAAATTAAAGGAGGGAAGCGGACCTTCCACCATCAGCTGTCCCATGCTGACATCTACGAACTACACGGTCTGGTCGATCCGGATCAAAGTGCTGCTGAAAGTACATAAGGTGTGGGATGCAATAGAAAACGAATCGGACAACATGGAGTAGAACGATATGGCCACCGCTCTATTGTTCCAATCCATCCCCGAGACATTTGTTCTTCAAGTTGGAGAGTTAGACACAGCAAAAAAGGTCTGGGATGCGATCAAATCAAGACATATGGGGGCAGATCGTGTTCGGGAAGCAAGATTGCAAACATTTTTAGCAGAATTTGACAGGCTACGTATGAAAGGTGGCAACAAAATAGATGACTTTGTGGGGAAGTTATCAGAATTATCTTCAAAATCAACCGCGTTGGGAGAAAATATTGATGAATCAAGCTAGTAAAGAAGTTCCTATCTAGCTTGCCACGACGAAAATATATACATATTGTGGCATCGTTAGAACAATTCCTTGATCTCAACATGAAAAGTTTCGAGGATATTGTTGGCCGCTTGAAGGCCTATGAAAATATAGTAGCCGAGGATGAAGAAGAGACACAAGAGACCCAGACCAAGCTCATGTATGCTTCAAACACTGAAACCCAACCCTCTGCAAGTTATCTGAATCAGGAATATAATAATTACAGGGGCCGTGGATGTGGAAGCCGACCCTATAACAGAGGAAGAGGTAGAGGGAGCTATCAAGATCGATACTGAGATCGATATCAAGACACTTTTGATATGTCGAAAATCATGTGCTTTCAGTGTGACAAGCTGGGACACTTTGCTTCTGTGTGTCCAGATCAAATTCTTAAGCTGCAAGAAACAACGGAGGTAAAATACAAAGATAAGGACACAACAGAAGCCGAAGAATTGATGGTTCATGAGGTCGTTTATCTGAACGAAAAGAAGAAAAACCCTCAAAATTTCGAGACAAGTTCATATAGTGACAAGGTTTGGTACTTAGACAATGAGGCAAGTAACCATATGACTGGTGATCAAAGGTATTTTAATTCTATTGATGAATCAGTTACTGGTCGATAATGTTCGTTACAAAAGACGGTAATGTGAACATATTAGCAGATGTCTACTATATTCCCGACTTGAAGAGCAACATAATAAGCTTAGGTCAAGCTACAGAATGTGGTTGTGACGTAAGAATGAAAGACTCGTATCTCACATTGAGAGATAAAGATGGCAAGTTGATAGCTAAAGCTGTAAGGTCCAAAAACCGTCCGTACAAAGTAACCATGGACAGAAGCGAACAATGTCTCCAAGCCTCGATAAGTAATGATTCATTAAGATGGCACGCAAGATTGGGTCACATAGGGAGAGAAGCAATGCGATTAATGGCTAGTAAGGAGCTTGTGTACAGATTACCTAAAGTCAATGGTGTTAAAGACACTTGCTTATCATGTTTACTAGGAAAACAAAGTCTTCACACATTTCCCTAAGCTACTACATATCGAACTGACACAACTCTCAACCTTATTCACGGTGACTTATGTGGATCCTTTACGCCTTCACACAAATGGTACATATTTGTCCTCGTCGACGACTACTCAAGGTACATGTGGAGTATACTTCTAAGTGAGACAAGAGAAGCTTTCGAAAAGTTCAAGAAATTCAAGGTCGTGGTAGAGAAAGAAACAGGGACTGTCATCAAAACACTTAGAACAAATAGAGGAGGAGAACTGGTGTCCAACGAATTCAACTTTTTTTTGCGAATCACATGGGATAACAAGACACCTAACAGCACCGTACATTTCTCAGAAGAATGGGGTTGTAGAGAGACGAAATAGAAATCTTCTTAACATGACAAGAAGCATCTTAAAGCACATGGAGCTACCAAACTATCTTTGGGGTGAAGCGGTTAGGCATGCTATTTATCTCATTAACTGAACCGCGAGTAGAGTAATCAAGAACACGACACCATATGAGTTGTTCAAAGGGAGAAACCCAAACATTGAGCATCTGCGTATCTTTTGTTGTATCAGCTATGTCAAGATGGACTGACAACACTCAAGAAGTTAGAGAACAGATCGAGAGTACTCATCCACCTCGGAACCAAACTGGGTTCCAAGGCCTATATGCTGTTGGATCCAATAAATAAGGAGGTGGTGGTGAGTCGAGACGTAATCTTTGATGAAAGCAAAAGATGGGATTGGAAGAATTTTAATAGAGGAGAGGAAAGTGGAATGTTTCGTATTGACATTGGTCATTATGGAAATCATGGCATCGATATAAGTGAGACTAAGCTTGATTCAGAGGACACTAATGAAACAGAGGTTGAAACAGAGCATATACAAGACAACGGTAGTCTTGATGGAGAAGACACAGAACATAATTGCGAGGAATCAGAACCCGAGCTGAGATAATCTCTAAGAGAAAGAAAGCAACCAAGTTACTTAACCACTTACGTTCTCTTTGCCGAGCTAGAAGCAGAGCGTCTGTTACTTAGTGTAAATGACGAACCTTGGAGTTACAAAGAAGCTAAGGAAGAGAAAGTATGGAGAGATGCTTGTGAAGATGAAAATCAAATCCATAGTAAAAAACTAAGACGTGGGATCTTGTTGAACTTCCAGCTGGAGCAAAAGCTATAGGGCTCAAGTGGGTTTTTAAAATAAAGTGCAGTTCCGATGGAAGCATCAACAAGTTCAAAGCAAGGTTAGTGGCCAAAAGATACATCCAGAGACATGTTATTGACTTCGATGAGGAGCCAGCACTGTATCGACGGCAAGAGAAGGGACATCTACTGCTTGTTGCAGTCTACGTCGATGACCTTTTAGTAAGCGGCTCAAGTCTTGAGATGATTAAAGAGTTCAAGCATGGAATGTCTGCAAAAATTGAAATGAGTGATTTGGGACTCTTGACGTACTATTTGAGAATAGAGGTCAAGCAACATAAACATGGCATCACATTAAGTCAGGAGAGATATGCTAGAAGGATATTAGAAGAAGCCAGTATGCAAGACTGCAATGCAGTTCATGTACCAATCGAACAGAACATAAATATATCAAAAGCATCTCACGAATAGAGCATAGACGAGAAGGAATACAGAAGGTGTATCGGATGCCTCAGATATCTACTTCATACTCGACCGGATCTATCATTCTCAGTTGGTGTTATGAGTAGATATATGCAAGAACCAAAGGTCTCGCATGCTTCGGCTATAAAACAGATCCTTCTGTGCTTGCAAGGAACGTTGAGCTATGGACGTGAGTTTCAGTGTGCAGAAAGCATGAACATCGTGGGCTTTAGTGACGCAGGTCACAATGTAGATGAGGATGATGGTTGAAGCACAACCGGGTATGCGTTTTATCTTATAGAGTCGCCTATAAGGTGGTGCTCTCAGAAACAAGAGACAGTTGCATTTTCGTCTTGTGAAGCAGAGTTTATGGCTGCAACTGAGGCAGCAAATAATATTATTTGGCTTCAAGACCTACTTGGTGAGGTTATCGGGAAAGAGAGCGAGAAAGTGATGGTTCTGATCAATAACAAGAGTGCAATAGCTTTGCCAAAAAGTCTGGTGTTTCAAGGACGCAGCAAACATATACATCGGCGTTATCATTTTAGTCGAGAGTGCGTTGACAATAATCTGATTGAAGTTCAGCATGTACCAGGGAATGCACAAAGAGCAGATATACTAACCAAAGGACTTGGAAAAACATGATACAAAGAGATGAGATTGTTAATTGGAGTTGAAGACTTAGCAAAGGGAGCTTCAAGCTTACGGGGGAGGGGGAGAATATTGGAAGTAAACTTGAAATTAGCTTGAAAGGCAAACTATCCTAATCTTATCTTATTTTGATTCTTCCAGAGATTAAGAAAGATCTTATAAATGTTAAGATTATTAAGAATAGGAAATTACAATTTATGTATAAGTTGTTGCAACACTTAAAGGGTTTTGTGATTGATTGAGAGTTCTTGAGTTTTATGTGATTTTTTCAAGAGATTAATAAGAGAGCAAGTTTTTATTAAAGAGTATTCTATAATCGATTTGCAAAACTATAAATTACGATTCCAACATTGTTTGCTTCCTTTGTTTCATGTTTCCGACATAAATAATAAAATAAATATAATTAGCACATTTTTATATTTTAATAAATGTATAATTTATTTATCTCAAAACATTTGTACAATTCCATTGCTTTGTCATATCATCTATTTCCTTTCCCCCTAGGTTATGAAATGCGATTGCGCGTACTTGTTTGTCTACAAAGTTAATGAGTCTAGAAGGAAAATGCGACTACTCACCTGTGTCTTGACCATAGTTTGAGCCCAGTAGCTTATGAGTTAAAATCCGATCTCTAGTAGACATCCTATTGTGAACGGCAATCCACACAAGGACTGAGAATTTAGGCGTGGCCTTTGGAAACCACATACTTCTATACCAACCACCCACGTTAAGTACCACTTGTGTCTTGTATATTAAGATATATTGATATTATATAATAGTTATGGACTAAAAGTGTACATCACCTTTTCCTTTCCACATCCTCATGTCATCAATATATCTCAATGCCTCACCTTTTCCTTTCCACACCCTCACGTCATCATCCGGTATCCGACCCTGAGAACGCAAATTGGTTAAATTTCAAGTATTTCATCACTTTAAAAGGTGAATACAAGTTAAACTCTTGAAATTTAAAATCCATATGGCTCATGTGACCTGCCCCCTGGTTACAAGCTACCTCTGGCACTGGTTGCAACTTCAAAATCTCCTTTTCGATTAATATTAAGTTCTCTGATCTATGCATCGTCAGCGATATTGCTAAACCGCAGTTCTCACTGTTGATTTGATATGTATACCAAAGTCATTGCACTTCTCTACCTTTTATTTTACTAAATCAACAAAAACCACTTTTAAAAATCACAGTCCAAAGAGTATTCTTATTGGTAAAAAAAAAAAAATTTAAATATTAATATTTTTCTTCTTATGTTTTAACATACTAAAACTAACTGAACCAATCACAAAAAAGTTTACATGAATATATTTTCTAGTAGACTAAAAGAAGTTCGAACCATACACTAATCTCTCACAGACCTAGGACTAACATTTACTAATATTTTATAACATCGTAAAACATCCATTCATCGCAAAACTAATCTAGGAGCATAATAGAAATTAAAGAACCAATTCATTGGCATAAACTACTATCTCAATGTTTCGTCAAAAATAAAAAGTAAAACAACTATCTCAATGTACCGTTAGTTGGTCTACATGAATATTTCAAAAGAGAACAGCACTGTATTCTCACTCATATTTTTATGTTTTTAATTAATCATATACTAAAGCTTGATCCGTTGCAGAATTAGTTTTAGCTTTTCTATAAATTATTTAATAACATTTTTAAACACATAGATATATGTTATTTAGATATTTTTAGGTTTCTACGAACTTGTGTGGACCTAGAAAAATCCCACTTGAATTTCATTTGAAAATTTATAATATCCTAACAGAGTTTAATTTTAATATCCAAAAGACGCAATACATGGAATGTCCATGTTTAACTATTGATAGAACCAAAATAAGGAGGATCACTTTAGCTGGGTGTTGGATATGAACCGAGAAGGCAAACGGCACTTCTGGAACTGAGATGGATTGAAAGGATCGTCAAGAGATGCGGAATGGCTCTTGATATACCCACGATCTAAGGCTAACCACCAAAGATAGGATGAATGTGTTGGCTAACCACCAAACAACACACAAAGANAATTTGTTATGAATTTTTCTATGGGCTGAAAAAGGTCCATTTCGCCCAGCAACTAAACCAGCTCCATCTTTAGTGTCACTTAGCTCACTCAGCTCATCCAGCTCACCCAAGTAAGTGTCATCTGATGGGGAAAACTTGGCTGAATCGAGTTGGTCGACAAGATCGTCTCCTTGGGCCGGTTCTATGATCCGAGCAGGTCAGTGCTCGAACCGGGGCGCATCATTCCCTCTTTCTTCAAAAAGATTTGTCCCCAAATCTGTAACATTAAAAGGAAAGGGGTTATAAGCAAATGAATCATAATTAGAACATTGCTCACCTTGATTTTGATTCGGTTTTTGAATGGAATAAGAATTTTCTTGGTTTGCTTGATAACCACGGTTTTGTTCTTCATATGATCCCTCCATTGGCTCATGTTTGAAGTCATTAAAAATTGGTAAAGACTCCTCCTTTTCTGGCTTGGTTTTAATGTTCTCATTCTCCAAAGTCACCAACAGTTTTTGCTTTTGACACTTGTTAGCATAATGACCGATTCTATGGCATTTGAAACACCTGGTAGAATGAGCTTTGCTTGTGGGTTTCACAACTTTGCTT